ACACTCTTTGCCCAGCATTACATTGATGGCTCAGAACCCTGGGTAACACGTCTTGGTGTGGTCGTTGAAAAGGAATCTTTAGAAGGGTTTTATATGGTAACAAGCCCCATCGTACGCAACATCTATCTTCGTCTAAGAACATTCATGTCTAATCCTGACTTTAGACGCTTCCAGGACTTGAGACCAACACTATCATTCAGCGTTTGGTTGTGGCTGTCCCACTTGAAGCGACAGGGCTTCCAGGGTCAAAGGGGAATATTCTTATTGCTAAGGTTGATCGGGCAGGCCGAGTACTTGATATTGAGAGAAACGATTGGTTTGTTATTCAGAAGGAGCTTTTGACCTACTTTTCAGCTCCTGGTTACGGTATCTAATGTGATAGTTGCACCATAACATATAATACAGACCCCGAAATCATCACCTGCTGGGAATTGAGGTCGATTCAGAGTTCGATTCCAGGGTCAATTTTATCGCCGATTCTTGACCCAGAACTTCAGTTGTGAGTCGATCAGGATATTGACCAAGATAGGGGCAATGGATATGGGCTAGAGTCTGACTGGTGGTCACACTCGAAGCACATAAGCAATATGTGTCTAACACAACACACATAAACAATACCAAATAGTGTGTCATGGTATATATAGACCCAAATCCAACACTGCTTCAAGCTCACGTCTGTTCTTTCTCACACACTCACTATGTCGATAAATCTCTTCCACTATTCAAAAGCAGTAAATATCTCTCAATTTGTCCGTATCAGGACACATTGTGCATTGCCACCACTCCAACCAGCTTTACCAGTTCCTGCAGCTCGTGCGGGTCCTCTTTTCTTTTAATCTCCCTTTTATCATTAATTTATCGGTTCTGTGCAATCTTCTACCATTTCATTCGCTTCTTATCACCACCCCACTCTCTTGAATCTTCACTTCCACCACAGAGCCCAATCCCTTTATCTCCATGTCCTGATGCTTTGCACTCAGCTCCGGCCTCCTTGTCCAGACCCCTTACCATTTACCATGAAGAATGGAAGGTGATTGCACCAATTTCCAATTCTATCCTTGGTGTTGGTTCCCATGTCGTCTTTTCTGGTCACTTACCTTGTAAAGAAGAGGAGCTAGATGGCGGAGATTCCGCAATCAGTGCATATGTCACCAGGCATGGAACGATTGTCCGTATCCATGCCTTCTACCAAGGCTGGGTATACTTCCAGCTAGATGTTCTTCGACAACCACCAAACATCAGGAATTGTCTTCTCATTGTCCCCCTTCATCACACGAAGCTGTCAAAGTGGGATAGGGTGAAATACTGGGCCAAGTACCCCTTTCTTCCTATTGAGTCATCAAATGACTGGTACGTGTCTTAAGTCATCATGTATTATGCATAGGCTAACCAATGCATAGGCATAGCATTCCCCGTCTCCATCCCCGTCTTGAACGGGACTACAACCCAGAAGATTACCAAGTTGGATTGATTGTGTAGTGCACTAGTCTTTGAATCGCATAGCCTTCTTCAGCCCAGGTTTGATTGAATGAGCTGAATATGTACATATCTGGTCCCTCTATCTTCAGCTACTCTTTCGATTTCATATATTGGTAGACGGTCATTCGTAATTATTTAAGTTGTATCAGTTGCAGTATCAAAGTCCAAGAAGCAGATTTTTCCCTCTGAGTAGCATAGAATGTTGCCAGGGCATCCATCTTCCAACCAGAAGGCATGAAGTGTTCACGGACCTTGGTGACGAATCCGGCATATGTGGTGAGGGCCTTTATCAAGGTGCAATTTTCATTTCACCACTGAGCAGCCACCAGCGCAACCATCTTCAACCCAATCATCATAATCTGAGCTGAGACCTTCCTTAAGGCCTACACCTTTATATACCAGACAAGTATATAGTCAAAAACCCCAGTACTTACTTATTGCTCTAATCAATCTTCTAGTGTTGATCCTCAACAAAATATGTGACAAATTTAAAGAATGTGTTGTGAGTAAGCATTGAGGCAAAGGATTGGGCACACGAGCCAACCAAATAGAATAGATAACACTAAAAGGGGAGAGGAATGATGGAAGAAGGAACAGGGACCAAATTGTCATATCCCCAAACCACCCAAGTCGATCTTAATGAACCAAACACCAGTCCTTGGTATAAAATGCCTCGGAACTTGCCGTGCAAAGCAGCGGCCCGCTACACACAGGTAGATGTTTGCTTGGCCCACCCTGGGAACCGAAATCACCACAAAATGGCTGGCATACCGGGTACCTAGAGCATAGTGAACATGTGGTTGATGATAGTCTGGTCCACCGCTCGTGAATGCAACTTGAAGGATCAGCGCCCGGAGCTGATATTTCCACCCAATTTCGGTAGCTGCAACGGTTAATTTGTCGACATTCTTCTTGGGCTGGAGACCGCAGGGTCATCCCTGTAATGGACTTGAAACCGCTCTTGAGGGTGGTGCTTTAGAAAATCAAGGATGCCGAGCATTCGCACACCTACCATGCCTGGCTACAATTATGATCCCAAGTCTTCTTGCTGCCATAATGGCGCAGCACGATCGCCCTACATGCGCCAACATCATCGTCATAAAGATATCGTATTTTGTGTCATCGAAGACTGCGAGCGGTTTGGTAGTCTGGCAACGCTGGCAAGCAGAATAAACGTAGACAATGAGTGAGACCGCCTGGTCATCGTGACTCGCTTTGTCAATCACACAAACTCATATCAGGACGATGGACTTGGCAAAGTCCCGCAGCCCCCGGGCACAGTCATGTTCCCTGCGATGGACCAAGCGCCATGCATATCCTACGTAGATCAAAGTTGACAAGACCTGGTAAAGGCGCCCATCAGAATGATAAGGTTGGCAGGCAAGGTAGACAAGGCCAATCAATATAATATGTGACCCTTCTGCTCCTACGGTCCTGATGAAATGCCTGAGTGTCGTGTGTATCAATAGGGTGGGAGGGAATGCAGAGAAGCGAGTAGGAAGGTTTCGGTAGCAGGGGGATGGCGTAAAAGTGTGACGAGCCTGTGCTTGGGCTAGCGCGAACGCATGAAGCTCTGACTATGCCCTTACCATGCGACCATTCCTCCAAATGCGCTATACATCACGACGTAGTGCTGGCACGAGCACTCTTATGCGACGAATTGAAGAGGTTCAACGTTCAAGGAAGTCAGTGCGGCTGCCTTTCGAGTGAATGGAAGCGTAAGCAGATCGAGAAGGGGTAGAGTAGTAGAGTTGGTTGAGTTCGGTCGCTAGCACATGTCGCGCCATCCGGGTGGTTCTTTTAGTCTTGATCACTATGGGACACCCCGACGGGGGCTTTCCCTGGGTTTCGGACGGCTAAATCCCCCGGATCACCCATCCATATCTCCTGGCTGACCCAGAGAAAATACCTGGCGCTCCCTGGATAGCCCAGGGATCTGCCCAGGGATCTACCCAGTGAATGACCGGGCTTTTCCGAGTCCCCGTGTAAAATGATCCCAGTCACTGGGTTGAAATTTCTTCTCCCTCGGGAGCTCCAGGGAAATCCCCTGGTCCTCCCATGTAGGTTCATTGGGGTATATCATGGTATACCTGCTGTATATCACTGGGTAAACACGGTATATATGGCTGGACCTGCCGTGGGCATATACAGGCATCACCTGGGGACATTCTGTAGCAAAATCCGGGGGTTTCAAGGGGGTAAACAGACTATATTAGACGGATACAAAGCTACTAATAAAACCTGATTCTACAATGCTAAATATAATGAAGGAATACAATACAATTATAGATACATGGGCGACGGGGTTGACAAACCAATGCAAATCAAAGGAAGAACAAGAAGAAATACCAAAGGTACAGCTTCGAATGGCTGAGCCGGCCACCTGGGCATCACAAGGAAGGATCGGAGGAGTAGATTAACCACGTGAAGCTGCGGAGCGCAGCTGGCGTTGGTTGATGGCGGGTTTGCGGGGTACAGAAGACACAGATTTCTATATCGGATGCCTGTTAGTCGAGTGCTTTGATATAGACGCCAATACACACCTTTCGTTTCCCAGAGTCAGTCTGTACATGAGCGATCAGTAAGCATACGGAACGACAAACGGTGCACTTACCTTCTTTCCCTTGCCCTTGACAGCAGGCTCTGGTTCTACCATTTCGTCGAACCACACATCCATATCCAAGTCATCGATATCAGTCAATTGGGACTAAGAAGCGATGTAAGTCGAATGAATAAGCAAAACGTACAGCAACTCACCGACACCTCCTGCTGATAATCGCCATCGTTGTCGGAAGCGAAAAGGGAAAGCGGCGAGTCTGGTCGTGCCTCTCCAACATCCGTATTTGATGTGTTGTGAGTGTAGTCGCCTTCCTCGTCATCATCATCGAGGTGGCGCGAATAGGGGAACGAGGCCTTAGAGGTGGCTCTGATAGCATAAGAAACCGAAGATCCAGGTCTTCGTGCCGCTGCCTCCTCTTTCAGGGATCGACCCTTGGAAACAGAAGGAACACGCGTTGACGTGGGGAGGGCCAGAGCTGAACTCGATACCAGAGAAGCTGAACGTGAGGTCGAAGCTGAGGTTGTCGAGAGAGATGCAGGGACTGAAACGGATAACGTGGCTGCGGCGTCGGAAGATGGAGGGGCGCGTGGGCTGTGCTTGGACGAGATTGTAGCACTTGGTGAACCAGTGAAAGCCCAGGTCAAGGCTTACACGGTAATTCCCTGGTTACCCAGCTAATGCCCAGGGAGATCTACCTCCCCTGGGACTCACTGGTATTTCCGGGAGCTACCCAGGCAACGAAATAGACGGACATTCCCTGGTTCACCAGGGACACCCGGGGGCACCCAGGGACAACCGGGGACAACCGGGGACAACCGGGGACAACCAGGGATCAGCCGGGGAATCTCCCCGTCGGGGTGTCCCATAGTGTGAGAATGGTCACAGTACCCTGCTGCCGGCCAAGGAGCACACCTTTCGTCCATAATTCGAAAACATCAAGGATGTGAACCATTGGCCAACATGTATGAAGAGGGAATCGAACCCCCCCGCAGGTCGACAACTACGTGATCCTGAATTTCTGAATGGCAACGACCCAGGCTACCACTACTCCATTAACGCGATGCATTGTAGCTGGGTAGTCTGTCCACTGATTGAAGCCGGAGGAAAGAACAGGAAAAAAGACTACATCGGTGGTAGAATGCCTGTAGAGGTCCGAAAGCCCAGCTACCCAGAGCAGAGCAAGGCTGAGGGAGGGAGTGAGGGAGCTAGCTGAAGAGGACAGTGGGTGTTGGAGGGAGAGGAGAATCCAACATATGTTAAGATGCATCGTTTAGAAGTGCACCGCTGCCGTAGCCAACTGAACGTCCAACGCGCCACACAAGTCCTACCGGTGACAATCACCCGGCGTTCTCAGAGCGCCAGAGCTTGAAAAGATAGCCTATAGGCTTTCGAGGTAGAAAGGAAAGATAAACAACCTGATTTGACGATTCTGCAGTTGGAGGGAATCGAACCCCAGCCGACGCGCATAGATTAATTTACGGATGATAGACCGCTGGCCCACAAACGCGAATGCCTACATGTGGTGTTCTGGGAGGAAGGGGTGCTGGAGAGGGTCTGACCAGAAATTTTCGGTGTATGAGGGGGGTGTTGTCAAATTGCAATGAGGGTGGGCGCTTGGAACTGCCGCCAACGCATGAGGGTCCGGTTATGCTCCTACCACACGCGGCCAGTTTTCCCAATGCGCTGTCGCACGACGTGCTTGAACGAGCGCTCTTCGTCAATGAGCTTTAACGGATGCCGGTGCATGAGGAATCAAGATCGGCTGCGAAAGCTGAAGAGAATCAAGCAAGCAAGTAATATCAAGACAAGTTCAGGTATGCAGTACGAGGAAATTGAACCCCGGCGGATTGACAAATCAAAGACACAAGAGGTGAGGAATTCGATGACCTGGGTTATCACTATCCCAGGAATGCGATGCGCATTCGCGAGGGCTACCATATAAGTTCTGTTGCACAAGTGATTCGAACTTACAGGGTGGTTGGGCGGAGTGTGAGAACAAGGTTTATTACACTTTGAAGCGGAAGCAAAGGGATGGATGATGCAAGAGAGCGCAGTCAGGAAAAAGAGGAGACAAATAGTCCTTGATAGGTGGGTAGTGCATTGAGTGGGAGTCGAACCCGCTGCAGTGACTCCACTGGCAGTGTGTAACGATGAATTCAGTACCGACTGACCGATAATGCGTTTTCAAAGTCTCCAGCCCTAAAAATTGAAGGTTTAAGGATGTAGGTGATGACAGAAGAGGCTATTAGGACGTACAGCTCGCAGCCACCATCTCTTCTTTGGCTGAACTCTCGCAATATGGTGATGTTGAGACGTTCAAGGGTTGAGCTAATCTGCTCAGACTGTCCCAGGATTATAAATGTTCAAACACCCGGACGGTGTGACGAGGGTGAGGTTGAGACAACCACGGAATGAGAGAAAGAATTCGACGTTTATGTATCGCTCATTGAATTGCATCATCAGGGACTCGAACCCCAGCACGACTTCCGCATGAGATTATTCTTGATGAGGAGTGGAAGCCGCTATCCCGTGGACGCTGGTGCCAACTGTCTTCGTAAAGCATTGCCATGGGATGAAGAAGCAGAGGCGCATCGATGAGAACTTCATAAAAATGACCTATGAATGGAGCAAAGATTGGATTAAGTGGGAATCGAACCCCCGGTGAGCCGAGACGAATAGAGGACCTTGATCTTGAGCATGAGCGATCCAGGTTACCACTTCACAATTAATGCGGTGCGCGCTCAACATCTGGTGTACAACAATCGTAGAAAGGATAAACGCCAGAGCGAGACGTTGCGAGGATGGGTGAAGTAATTGTTTCCTGATTGACGTGAGTATTTGGACTGAGAGAGGTGACATTAGTATCTGGTGATCCCAGAGCCGTAGTATCTCTCACTATTCCCATTCATCCAATCCCCCTTGGAACCATTTGCAGCCGATATCACAGGCAAAAGGTGGGCTTCACTCCGACCAGGGGTCTGGGGACGTTACCGGTGAGCTTGCATTTATCTAGCGAAGGTATCGACCTTTGCGTTCTGGGATACGTCAAAGAATGAGGCTGCGGGGAGAAAAAGCAAGCCAATGGTTTTCCGTGGGACGGTGTTAAGAGGGAATCGAACCCACGGCATGGACGGCACCCAAGTTGCATGTCGAGACGAAAAAGGGAGACCGGTGCCCCATGATTGCCCATGTAAAAGGCTTTGATTATATGGAGGAAAAAGTGAGGCGAGAGGACTAGCGTAGACGCCGATAGGTATGATTCAACAAATAAAATTCGTTATTGGCTTCCATTCCTAAATACGACAAGAGGGAATCCAACCCCCAGCGGGTCGACAAATGATTCCAAGATGATCAGTGACCCAGAATTCCACTAAACCATTCATACAATAGCTATCTAAAGATGCTGATCTATATCTGGGGAAAGCAAAGGAGCTACTGAACGAGGTTGGCAGGACGCACAAGACACGGAGAAGGACATTGAAAGGTAGAGCAGAGCCTGGAAAAGGAGTTAAATTGATAGTGTAGATATGGGCGTATGTGCCCCTTATAAAAGGAGAACAAATTTGTGAAGGATAACTAGCTCCCTAATGCCAGCGCCGCTCGCAACCACGAATTAGACGCTCAAAGAGAACAGGGGTGGGATGCCAACTTGCCGATGATGCAATGATCCGCATCATCAATCAGTTTGTGGATCGCCCGCCCAGCCCATCGCAATCGGGAGCTCTCTCATCATCATCTCCACACCATAATCCTCGACAACACCACTCCGCACGGTGGGCACAAGGGTTGCTCGTCATCGTCTTCAGCGCTCCTTGAACATCGGTATTTGGAGAACGCAGCTCTAGGAAGGAGATAGGAGGACTATAGCAGGGAGCACGGGTTCCTGGACGCTGAAGCGAATAAGCAGGCCGAGAAACAAGGAAGAGATACTCCAAGTCGACTTGTGTGAGTGTGTGCATGCGTCTTGGATTTGAATGTGCTGATGACGGGTTGCTGCGGAATATCTTTTGCCGTTTCTCTTTGCCGTGTGCTGTGGTACTTTTGTGGTGCGGGCTGTGTCTGTCACCAACTTGGTCACTACTACTGGGTTCTTTGCTACGTTCATCATCCAGGTACACAACCGCCTTTTATCATCGACCTTCACTTCGACTTCGACTTCGACTTTACTTCAAGAATCTATTCATTCGACAAGAAAGCTAAACTGACTGGAAGAATACTGACGTACTGAACTACTACTACTTATTGGACCCCTGAACACGACTGGACGCCACTGTACGAATACGACCCACCGCTATCCTAAAAGAACGAAAGAACGTGCAGCCAGTCCCATAATGGCTCCTGCTCAGAAGATCGGGCGGGCGCTCAAGAGTGCTGCCCTCCTCCCTGTCAAAGGAATTCGAGGTACGCACTCCTGATCCCAGTATCTCTGGCATAGTTTCCTAATCCTTTCTGTATCTTGCTATCATTCATCCTCCTCGACGACACCATCCTCTATCACCGATGCCACTGGCCGTACGACCCCTCCTGAATCTCCAACGCCGCTACGACAGCAAGCACAGGCCGACGCTCCACCTCGACCTCCATGAACCCCCAGCCAGGCGAAGAACCGATGGTCATCCTGCGCTTACAGATCTTGGGATGTGAAGGACTGATTGCGAAAGATCGGGGTGGGACGAGCGATCCGTGCGTTACTTCTCTCAGTTTTCGTGTTCCCTCTCTGCTTTCACTGCTCTGCCTTTTGATTCTTCGTTCCTATGCTACACCGCTACCCATTCATCTGTGCGTGCACGGGGTGATGAAAGAGCGCAATCGACTGCCTCGAGATCACTGCCAGGCATCGTCATGACATCAGCGCGGTGCACGGTCTTGACGGGGCTCGTGATAGTTGACTTGGGGGCGCCAATCGTCCTGGCGCCAACCTCCCAAGCCTTGCTTATCATCCTCTCTGGCATCCATTCATTCATTCAACTGACAGCTCCACACCTCACGCAGATTTGTCGTCTGCTCGCTCCTTTCAACGCGCTACAACACACCTGTATCCAAAAAGACACTCAACCCAACCTACGCCGCCTCAACTGCAACATTTGACTTTCCTCTCTATGCCAGTACGTGTCTAGTACCCCTACCCGCATTCCGCGCATCTGAACGGCATGAATCTAGGCCTCCAAGATAAACTCGGCGTCCTTGAACTCATCGTCTGGGACAAGGACACGTTTGGCAAAGATTATCTCGGCGAAGTTGGGATTCCACTCGAAGCCTGGTTCGTCGATCACCAAGATGACGATGAAGGAGGAAGAGGCAAGAAGAGGACGTTGGATTGGGAGAGTTCCAAGAACGAGGTACGTTTCACCCGCCTAACCATTCCCCACTCTCTTTTGTGCGACATCGAGAAGCTGACGCGTGGATCCCGATAGTCATTCGCTCTCAGTTTGCTCTCCACCAAGTCGCACACCGTCGCTACTGGTACTATCACCATCAAGCTCGGATTCGTCCTCACCCCCAACTCTCAGTCTGCGTTCCCTGAAGGACGACCTGGGGAAATTGAGCGAGAAAAGTACTTTGAAGAGGTTTATAGCAACTTTATGAGGAGGAGTCGGCCAAGTCTTGTTAGCGCGCCTCCAGTACGTGCATTCTTTCTTCCTCGGTGGACAAGAAACGCAAATGCTGATTCATCCTTTACAGACCGAAGGCGTAGGCACAATCCGTTCACATCAACAACGATCTACCCATCCCCTCTTTGAAGACGACGGAGGTCTTTCATCCTCCGAAGACGAAGGCTCGGAATCTGAATCCGAATCCGGCACAGATTCTGAGAGCGAGAGTGAAAGTGAGAGCGAATACGAAGATGCTTCTGATGGGCAAGGTGGGATCGGAAGTGAAGAGAGAGCGAGGAGGAGACAGTTGGCGGAAGAAGAGAGGGAGAGGGAGATGCATGAACGTGTTGTTAATCAGGCTTTGGGCTTGGCTGGTGCGTTACACTTTTGTTCCTTCCTCTTCTCAGTAAAACTGATGGATATTCCTAGTCCCTTCGTCGACGTCCACCTCGACGTCCTCTGTCACTTCGACCTCGACGGCCACCAATGCACCCTCTCCAATGACCCGCTCCACCTCTGGTGCACCTTCGTTGAACACCAACACGTCCATCCCTCCTCCCAGTCTGAATTTGGATTATAACAAGTTGGATGGATTCAAGAGCCCCACGACGCCGACGCAGGAAGCGACGTTGCCTACGCCTACGTTGCCCGAGGTGCCTGGGAGTGCGGCGACGATCACGGGTGCGAGGCCTCAAGAGAGGTCGTTGGGTGCTATCGGTGCTCAGATGGCTGGTGATGGTGTTACCAGTGGCGACAAGAAGACGCACGAGCAACATGAGATTCAAGGACCTGCGGCCCCGCCTACTTTGACGCCCAGTGGGAACGTGGCGTCTCCCCCGCCTGTCGTTGTTTCGCCTCCTACATCTGTTTCAACACCCAAGGAGCCTGCGAGTGCGTCGTCGACAAAGGAATCGTTCACCGCGCAGGAAACAAAGGAGGCTCCTGCCAAGCCGAGCAAAGTCCAAAGGCTTTCGTCGACGTTCTCGATTTCAAAGATGATCCCGCGCCGACTTTCGTCCAAGAGCGCTGCCACGAGCAAGTCTTCTGCCAGCAGCAGCTCTGTGTCGTTGGTTGCGGAGCCCGTTAGCGAGCTTGGAGTCGTAGGAGGGGTTTCGTCGTCCCCCGAAGATTCAAGCGCCCTCAACTCGTCCAAGTCCAAGAAATTCGGAAGAAAGACCAAGACGCGGGAAGCCAGTGACCCTTCTTCCTTCGTCGACAGTCCCACCACCACTTCGGGGTCGACTTCTGCTTCTGGACTTGTCACCTTGGAAGAAGGCAAGATCAAGGGAGACGGAGAAGGCAAGAAGAGGCGCCGAAAGAGGGTCGGGAGGAAGATCAAGGGAGGTGGAGGAAAGGGAGGAAAGGAGTATAGTCTGGGGACTGATAATGATATTGTGGGGATTGTTATGCTTGAGATTAGGAGTGCGGAGGATTTACCCAAGTTGAGTAATAGTGAGTGTCTTTTTTCCATTCTTTTCTTCTCTTTTTCTCCTCTTTTCTTCTCTTTTCTTTCCTGTCCCCTTTGCCTTTAGACCACTGAGAACAGGGGAACGCTTCGCTGACGCTCGCGTTTTTTACAGTGACACGTACAGGCTGGGACATGGACCCGTTTGTCGTCATCTCGTTTGGCAAAAAGGTGTTTAGGACGCGTGTTATTCGGCATTCGAGGAACCCTGTGTGGGATGAAAAGCTGTTGTTCCACGTGAGGCGGTATGAGATTGGGTTCAAGGTGCGTTTTCACCCCTTCTTTCTCGAGAAGGGGTATGGGGGATGGGTATACTGACACATTCGCTTGCGTAGGTCCACTTTTCGATCCTTGACTGGGACAAGTTGTCGTCGAATGACCACATTGGAGATGCGTCGTTTGATGTCAAGGAGCTGCTTGACTCTGCGCCTCAACCTGATGCTTCAACCGGGTTGTATGGTAAGGAAGCCGAAGAGTCTGGAGAGATGAAGGTTCGTTTCTCTACCTGTCATCCAATTCAAGCAGTGGTTGAAGGGGTCGTCCAGGATATGAAGATGAAGCTTAGCGCAGAGAAGGGAGGCGTGAGCGTCAAGTGGGATGCCAAGTATTCGCCCGAGCTTAGCATTCGGTGAGTCTTTCCATGCTTCATAAAGGGGGATGGGAGAACTGATGA